TTCTTGTGGTAATTTAAGCAACAAGATGTTTCCATAGCATTTTCTTTGCATTTAATTGTATATGATCAGAGCTTTGCATGCTGGGGGTTGTAAATACTAGTCGGGCAGGTTTTGTGTTTCAGCCGGATCCTCTTGGCTGCTCTAATTTCATTAACTTGCCTTTTAAGAAAATCAAATGCAACTCTGGTGCCCTGAGTAAAGACCCGACTTAGTCAGCAGTTCTGTGGTGTTAGTGCTGATCATGCCTGGTTTGTTACGTTCTGTACAGCTGGTTAAGGTCACCAGTGGTTGCTGCTCTTCATCCAACCTTCCCCTGGGAGGGGGCTGAGGCAGGAGCCCTGGGGGGCACAGGCAGTGGGTGCTGAGGACCTGCCTGCCCCCCAAGCTGCTGGGTCCCTCTGGGCAGGAAGGCTGCTCAGCTGCAGCAGCTCCTGCTGGCTCTGGGGGTGGCTCTGCAAGCTGGAGACTTTTATCCAGGCATCTCAGTGCAGCTTGAAAAGGTCACCTTGTAGAGCAGGGGGGGTGACCCCAGCACAGCCCATCAAGTGCCTTTAATGCTTAATACTGAAACTGTTGACTGTGGGACTTGGACCTTGCAGGTCATGCTGTGGTTCTAACAGTAATACTGATGCAAATGTTTGAAATTCTTCAGTTTCCTTTTTTTTATTTCTTTTTTCTTTTTTCTTTTTTTTTTTTTAGCTCTCAGCTTCACCCTCCCTGGGTTTCCATTTGCTACCAAGTTCCAGCTTCATGTGTTTTACTAAACACAGCAGCAGCAGGACCCAACTGCTCAGCACACGCTGCAGGGAGGTGCTGGTGATGGTTCTGGTTTGTTTCATACTGGTTCCAGCACAGAACAGATCCCTTTGGGTTTGTGCCCTGCTCCAGAACGTGGGCAGCAGGTGACACCAACTGGTGCTGCCAGGGGTTTTGTGGAGGACCAGGGCAGTTCACACCAAAAGGGACAAAATAAGCGATTTCTGAAACTGCCTGTTTTCTAGAGCCTGTGCTGGGCAGGTGCTGCTTGGGTGTGATGAGATGACTCACTTGATCCCATTTATCCCTGGGAACTCTGCTCCCAGGAGCAGTCTGTCCGACCTTGCTTTGACTTTTGTGACTTCCTGACCTGTAGGTGTAGGAGTGCAGATCTGCCAGGGCAGCTTTGTGATTTCCTGGGAAGCAGCCCCCTCAGAACGGGGGCTGATGGGGTGTTTTGTCAGGGAGAAGGGACAGAGACATGAACTAACAAGGCATCTTTGTTTGCCTCATTCCTGTGAATGAAGTCTATTGATCCGGGGAGAAAAAACCCACTTTATTATTATTTGAGGGCTCTGCAGAGATTCATACAAATTCCAGAAGTCTTGCCCACTTTATTTTTTCACATTTCCATCTGCTGTAGTTTCCTTCAGTGCTGGAAGTCTCAAATAAGGACACAGATCAGCAGATCTTGACTCCTAACCTCTGCACGAGGCCCCTTTTGAAGGTTCTCCTGCCAAGACTTTGTCCTCAGCTTTCCTTTAGTCCTGAGTGAATAAGGATTTGGGTGGAATTAATGATTTTGTGTTTCCTGTTTTGCTGGGGATTTCTGTTTTGCATGGATATGAACCAGATCTGCAAACTCTGGATTTTTGTACTTCCTGGATTGATTAACAAACAGGTTTTTTTAATTATTATTTTTTTTAGTAACAAAAATAGCCCAGCAGAGCAGCTGCCTGTGCTGGTGGTTCTGCACTGCTGGGTAAAACCCCCCTGGGGCTGGGCTGTGATGCAAGTCCCAGGTATCCAGGGCAGCCAGTGCATTTCTGGTGCTTTGCACCCGCAGACCCAGAGTTTCTATTTCAACCCTTTTTAAAAACAAGTTCTCCCCAAGCCCCGGGAGTGAAAATACATTTCTCACAGTGGTAAAAGTGCTGGTGCAGCTCTGACAGCTTGGTGACAAAGCCCCCAAGTGGGGTGAGACATCACCTGCTGGGTGAGTCCAGCACAGGCAGCAGGGTCCCTCTCTGGTCCCTCTCTGGTCATTTTCTGGTCCCTCTCTGGTCCATCCCTGGTCACTTTCTGGTCCCAGTGGCTGCAGCTCATCAGGCAGGAGGATTCTCTGTAGGTCCTGGAGCAGGTGAAGCAGCACATGAGTGTGTGTCACGCTGTGGCTCTGGAGGGGAAAGCTTTTGCATTGCACCCAGACAAGCTAGCCAAAAAAAAACCCCAGCAGAGCAAGGGGGAGGGGTCCTGCTGGCCAGGGCTGCTTTGTCAACGAGAGAACCTGTACATTTAATTTTTAATGTAGTGTTTTTCAGTAAGTCTGTGGCACTCTGCCCGGTGGAAGCCAAAGAGGCACCCAAGAGGGACCCCCAGCTTGTGTGGGGCTGGAGCTGGAGGTTCTGGGGAGACAATGAGGACTTTCTGTGGCACTTCCATGCAGCCCAGCCTGTCTGAACACAGGCCCCTCACTGAGGGGTCGAAATGAGCTGCCTGGGGTGGCTGCTGAGCCCAGGGGCAGAGGGGAGGCTGTTCTTTATGTACTGCCTTTTCCTCCCAAAGGGTCTGGGGTAAAGCCTGATCTCTTGCCTTCTCAGTGCCCAACAACACAGCCCGTTGCTGCCAGGAGAGCACTGGGGAGTTTGCATTTCATTTGCTCTAACTGGTAATTTAAGGGAGACAGACTGGGTTGTTGTGGGGACTTCAGAAAGCCCCTAGGACAGGGGAATGACAGGGTTCTGAGATCACCTCAGTAGTCACAGCATTTTTTTCTCTTACAACAGTGAATCCTGACCTAAAATCTACCAGCAGTCCTGCCTATTTTTGCTTTTATTGCCTCTTTTTTTTTTTAAATTTCAAATGTATTCACATCTTTCAGTTGCCTCTCTCTGGTCATTTTCTGGTCCCTCTCTGGTCCATCCCTGGTCACTTTCTGGTCCCAGTGGCTGCAGCTCATCAGGCAGGAGGATTCTCTGTAGGTCCTGGAGCAGGTGAAGCAGCACATGAGTGTGTGTCACGCTGTGGCTCTGGAGGGGAAAGCTTTTGCATTGCACCCAGACAAGCTAGCCAAAAAAAAACCCCAGCAGAGCAAGGGGGAGGGGTCCTGCTGGCCAGGGCTGCTTTGTCAACGAGAGAACCTGTACATTTAATTTTTAATGTAGTGTTTTTCAGTAAGTCTGTGGCACTCTGCCCGGTGGAAGCCAAAGAGGCACCCAAGAGGGACCCCCAGCTTGTGTGGGGCTGGAGCTGGAGGTTCTGGGGAGACAATGAGGACTTTCTGTGGCACTTCCATGCAGCCCAGCCTGTCTGAACACAGGCCCCTCACTGAGGGGTCGAAATGAGCTGCCTGGGGTGGCTGCTGAGCCCAGGGGCAGAGGGGAGGCTGTTCTTTATGTACTGCCTTTTCCTCCCAAAGGGTCTGGGGTAAAGCCTGATCTCTTGCCTTCTCAGTGCCCAACAACACAGCCCGTTGCTGCCAGGAGAGCACTGGGGAGTTTGCATTTCATTTGCTCTAACTGGTAATTTAAGGGAGACAGACTGGGTTGTTGTGGGGACTTCAGAAAGCCCCTAGGACAGGGGAATGACAGGGTTCTGAGATCACCTCAGTAGTCACAGCATTTTTTTCTCTTACAACAGTGAATCCTGACCTAAAATCTACCAGCAGTCCTGCCTATTTTTGCTTTTATTGCCTCTTTTTTTTTTTAAATTTCAAATGTATTCACATCTTTCAGTTGCCTGGAGCTAGTTTTATGACTCACACCAATGTGCTATCTCGTTTTTGTTTCCTCCTGTGTGAAGTTGGATGGCAAGTTGTGTTGAGGGTTGGAAGCAGTTACACTCTTGTGGTTCACTAACCTTTTTGGGTGTTTTATAAGAGAAACGTGAGCTCCTGGTTTTCTGCCTCTGCAGTGAAACCTGAGGAGTTTCATATACATTGAGTCACGCTGTTGACAAGTGACTGATAAACATCTGCACTGCTCGAGTTACCGTAACTAAGGCATGAGTGGATCTGATGTCTGCGAGTCACTTGCACATGAAACATTTGGTCTGGCCCATTTGTTGGGTTTTGGTGTGTTGTATTTTTTTTTTGTTAAAAAAAAAAAAAAGCTCTGAACGTTTTTGTTTTATGTAACCGCAGGATTCGGTTGCTTCTTTCTAGACAGTCACAAAAAACGTGACTTCAGTCCTTTTTGGGGTGCAGGTTGATTTCCTCCTGGCACAAGGGAGGTGGGGGGTGTGCCCAGCCCAGCTCCCTGGCCTGGCTCCTTGCTAGAGGAGGCGTGAGCAGGATTTCAGGAGCTCTCAGCTCTCCTGCTCTGTCTCATCAGGAGGTTTCCAAGCTCCAGCCCACCCAGAGAGGAAGGCATTTCACTCCTCTTGCCCCACAAGTGACACAAAACGTGCTGGTGTCTTAGGTGCTCTGAAAACCTGTGCTGAGGTGGCAGAAGGCAGGTGGGTGCAGAGGGAGCTGCTGTTGGCAGAGGATAGGGGGGGAAATTGACTCCAGTGTCCAGTGATGGGTGAAAGACTCTCTCAGATGGGTGAAAGTCATGAGAAGTGCATCAGGTCTTGTCTTTGCTTCCTCTGTCAGAGCAGGGAACACTTCTGGGGGGACATGTCAGGAAGGAGAAGTTGCAGTCTTGGTAGCAAAATGGAGAGTTTGGGTTTGTTACCCAGTAGCTCTTCTACAAGTGTTTTCATTCATGATTGTTTGCCTTTTTCTAGAAAAAAACATGAGCAGTTAATCCAGGGAAGCTCTGTCAATGTTCTTCCCCTTAAATCCCAGAATAACTAAAAAAAAGTAGTTATGGTTTGTCCAGTTATTACCCCTTACCAACAATCCATTACATTTTTGCTTTCAAGGCTGGACTTTAGGAAATAATTAACAAAAGCCAAAAAAACTCCACCCAGAAGCTGCTGGTGTGTGTGAGCAGCCCCTTCCTGCAGAGAACATTTCATGCCTCTCTACTTTCTGGAGCCAACTGCCCTTTAGAGAAGGTGTCCTGGGCTTTCAAGGCTGCTAACCATGGACACCTCCCCTCTCTTGCAGGCGAGAAGCGACACAGTTTTGATGTGAGTTACAACTCGAGTTTCATGTACGAGAAGGAGAGCGAGCTGATGCAGGGCCGGATGATGGACCAGGCCATCAACAACGCCATCAGCTACCTGGGGGCAGAGGCCCTGCGCCCGCTGGTGCAGACACCGCCAGCTCCCACCTCCGAGATGGTCCCGGTGATCAGCAGCCTTTACCCCATCGCCCTGACCCGCCCTGACCTGCCCAACGGCCACGCGCAGGACGCCGAGAAGAGCCACGGCCACCTCAGGGACAAGAGCCTGGCTCCTGACAGGGGCCTGTCCCCAAACAACAGCGGCCACGACTCCACAGACACTGACAGCAACCACGAGGAGCGGCACAATCCCACCTTCCAGCCCAGCCCCGCGCTCCCCGCCCAGCCCCGCAACGGACTCCCGCCCCTCCGGGCTTTCCCCAGGCCCTACGCCA